GAGTGTAAGGATTTGGTGTGCGGCGAGTAGCGTTATAAACAGTGGCAATTCGAGTCGCTCTAATGTCGGAAACTTGTGAACCAGGAATCCACATAAGTTCATGTTTAGTTTCTGAGGAGGCTTGCACCAACTTGTCAAGTGCTGGACTACGCATCCTTAACCGTGTCGGTTTGAAAAATTCAAATGAGACAAGATTTCAACCTTTGTTACATCGTCACAAACTTTTATGCACCATCACGTAATGACATTATGCCGCATAATGGCAACCATAGTAGCACAATAGTATTGAATTTATACCTGCTTTCGTTATGAAATGACTATGAATCCTGGTAACAGGCAACCGTAATAGTAATTTTCTGTGGAGCACACCATGAGCGGAATCACATCTAACATTTTCTTTACAATAGATTAACGTTTAATCTCTAATGCTCATAAATATAAATGATGCCTCACTTGCTTTTCTGGTGATTATGTATAGTACTGTTCAAATAGTCAAGAATAAGCAAAGCGAGGTACTACGGCTATCAAAGAATCCGTAATTCCACGTTCCAGTTTTAAAGGCTAACAATAATTAAGTTAATGTTATTATATTATTAGGGTGACATTACTATATTTTCGCTTCTCTACATGCTATTTACGTGCTGTGCTTAAAATGCCATATTGAAATAATTGAGTAACACTAGTGAAAAAACAAGACACTTGCCATAATTTCCGAGTTCATTAAATTAATGCAATTATCGGCTCATTGCAGGTAAAAAGAGAATTCTAACAAATTCTTTTAAAACGTTTGGAAATCACTGCCGAAATAAAAAACTAGTCTCCCTTATCGTCTGATGAAGATAATAGAAGAGAATGCGATATCAGATATCAGATATATACAAATTGCAATTCCAGCAAATTTGGATAGAAAAGGAAATTTTGTGACTGGTTACTGATTCTCCCACACAGATTTTTTATCTTGCGGCCGGCCAGCCTAACACAAGTGTTGCGAAAAAGGTTTCAAATGACAAATTCGACAAAGGCCGCTCTTAAAGAAAAAGAACTTGATACGGCGAGGTGCAAAGGTAATTAATTACGGTATTACTCGCCCGTGATAATATGGGGCGAACGGGTAGAATAATGGCTCGGAAGGAAGTTACATTCAATAACCTGTGCTTTCAACTTTTCTCAAATTAGGAAACTGGAATGAGATTCCTGAACTTGCACGCAAGTATAAAAAGCATAATCCCGACGGAGTAGGTTAGAATTCTCGGTTTACTGTTTGCTAGTAATACCCTCATTTGTTATACAAAACGTAACAAGTTCTTGATCCTGCCGCAACCTAAATAGTACTGGAACAGACGGCACTGGCAGAATATGAACTAGTTCAAGCAATTCAGAAAAAAGAAAAAGCAAACTTCTCCCCTTCGGCCTATGACGGTGATGGCCCAGACTATATAACGATGCCTCCCATTATTGACGAGAGCGGGATTACGGACAGTGTATTTGCCAGGCTCGAAAATGCCAAAGCTAGAACTCATGATGCTAACAAAGATGTAATACTTTGATTTAAGTGAGAGAATAGCCGATAGGCAAAAGTCTGTTGAACTACTAACGGACTTGATCTGACTGAAATAGTACACCTTTACAGTGCTTGGTCGCGCTTTGTTTGTGGTTGGAAAGTACAAGGAATGTTTAGAAACTTTGAATGTCCTGCGTGCACCTACAAGGCCATCTATTGGTTATAACTTTGTATTGCTCCTCCAGAAGCTAATTGTCAAAGGCTAGTTGAGATCACTGGTATATCTTTGTTTGCTAAACTTGTTGTATGCGTAAGATTAATGATTTACCCGTCTACCACCCGTTAGGAATGGCGCTCGAATTAACTGGAGATGTTGAAGGTGCCGCTAAATGTTACGACGAAGTTATTCAGCAGGTAGTCCAGCAGCCAGGCGAGAAATACGATCAAGTAATGTATTGGACGGAGGAGGCGTTATATCGATCTTCGTTGCTTAATGTGAGACTCGGGTAAGGTGTCGGCGAATGTGTTGGTTTTGAGTATACTTTTCCCAGTGCTAATTGTGTCTGATGAATCATGGTTTTGTAGAAATGTCGGTGCTGCACTTCGATCTTTTCGTACTTACCAGGCCTATGCGGCCACGTGGGGTTCGTTTAGGATCAACAAGAGAGCTGTAATATTTAGGCATTTTATCAAGTTTCTCTCAAAGATCTACAATACGAATGAATACGTTCCCCCAAATGATGATTATCCATCCGTTGGATCAAAGTATTTATATTACACGAATTCCTGATCTTTTTATTTTCCTTATTGCCTCATTTTTAACAAGTCATTTGTCAATTAGCGACCAACAAAGTTCATCTGCTCCGCGCACGTTCCGTCAAGAATTGACCGAACTACATTCGCTTTACGAAAATGTTCTTTATCAAATAGTCAAGTTTCCTCAAGCAGGAGAAGTCAACTGGAGAGTACTCGAAATGGTGGATCAGATAATGTCGGACTGGATTCTGCTGGGGGGTGGAACCATAGCGGAAATTCGAGGAGTTGTTGAGGTTCGTAATCGTTATAACATACGTTGGTTTTTTATTCAATGTCGTTGATATGCTTATCATCCGAATATCAAACACGCAACCAGATGCTGTATCGAGCAGCAAAGAAAACTTTCCATTCACCCCAAATTATGCGGCACTTGGTTAATTCTTTGATTGCATTGGGTGAATACGATGAGGCGGCTTTGGCGCTTGATGCATATATTGCATTGGTAGAAAAGGCCAAGGAGACTCACTTGGAAGAAATCGAGCGTAAGCTACATCATGCAGAATCTTCAGCGAAAAAGTTTTGTGAGATTGAAAATCCAAGCGACGTCATTCAGACAATATTAAGGGGTGTTTACCTAACGGCAAAACATCTTAACAAGGTAAATTTTTTTGGTTGATATCGAATTTTCGTTGGGTAGTGGACACGTTGTCTGCAAAATATCAATGGATATATCTATGATAAGTTATCCCCGTTGCACAACTGCGTCTAATAATATCTTGCTGATCTTATTATATTGTCTTAGCCAAAGGAAGCATTGCAATATGCGCAGAAGGCTGTAGAGATTTCTGAAGAAGCGTCCATAACTGATGATGAGCTTTTGGCATATGTATGGAGATGTGTTGGCATTGCTCACAGCGTAGCTGCTCGTGAAGGTACATAAACAGATTGTATAGATATTGTTTCGACGGTTGAATAAGCATCGCGCGACATACACGCTCATTATACTTTTTTTTTGTCTCGTCAAAAAGAACTTGATCCCGATAAGAGACCTGGCCTCTATGAGGAGGCAGTATCCGCACTCCAGAAATCAATAGAATTAGACCCAGAGTCTATCGAGTCGTTATATCAATTAGCACTAGCATGTGCGATAACACGCGACATAAGACTAGCAATCTCTACCATCCAAAAGGCTTTACGCATCGATGACAAGAACATTCCATGTTGGCATCTCTTGGCACTTTCGTTCTCTGCACAAAAAAATATTCAGAGTGCGTTAACGGCATGCGAGCTTGGTGCCAAAGATTCCGACTGGGAAACGACCGACTCTCCTGCCGAGGTCTTGATTGCCGCAGGAAATGACGATGGGGACGAATTCTTTAGTTTGAAGATGACTCAAAATGCATTACAAGAACTCGTGAATGGGCCGGATGCGGCTCTACAGAATCGAGAGAGTTTGTTTACATTGTATGGAAGGGTATTTCCTGATGGTGGCATTTCTCCTTATGAAACGAGCAGCATTCGCAAGCGTGATGTGAATGAAGACACAATTAATTCATCTATGAGGCCTCCAGGAAGTACACGCAGCACTCGCAGTTATTCGAATAGTAAAAGAGAAGTCGCGGATGATACCATGTCAGCTGTGGCAAATAGAGATAAATTAGGTAGGGTTTTCCATAATCCTTACAACACGTATGGTTTCTTTTGTATTTCATTTTCAAAATGTAAACCTTAATGTTTATGTAGACGTTCCGAAAGCGACTTATGCAACCTCCATCTCATCAAAAAATTCCGCCGGATCAGGTATTGGTCAGAGCCCCACTCCAACTATAAGTGGCATTGTTTCCGCAAAATCTATCGTGGGTGCTAGCTCTATCTCTCGTCCAACAGCAAGAATACGTCAACGACGGCAAAGATCGGCTAAAGAGCTGGTAACGCTGTGGTTATCGACTGCTTCATCATTTAGAAGGCAAGATGATCTCGGGGAAACGCTAAAAGCCATACAGAACGCTGAAGAGATCGATGGTGCAAACCCAGATGTTTGGTGTCAAGTAAGTATGACATTGAGAATAAATAAAGTTACAAGTTGTGTTTCTCCCGGCAAATAATTAACTCTTGTCTCTCGCATGTATAGTTTGGCCTCCTTCAATTTGTTCAAGAAAATTATGACAAGGCTATTTCTGCTTTTCATAAAGCTATTTCAATAGATGCACAGCACGTCCCAAGCTTGGTGCATCTAGCCCGAACGTATATCCAGACTGGCGATATTGAAATGGCAGAGGGTGTGCTCGAAAGTGTAACCAAAGGGAATGGGTGGGACTGCGCAGAAGCATGGTAAGTCCTCGATTTGTCTAGTTATAACCCTGCTTTGAAAGCTATTAACGAGCTTGCTTTTAATTTGTTAAAGGTATTTCCTTGGCAACGTCTTTGAGACAACAAATCGCATCGAACGTGCCAAAAAGTGCTTATGGTACGCTCTGGATTTGGAATCAACCAAACCCGTCAGACCATTTAGCGTTTTACCCAGATGCCTTTGATTTATCAATTCTCTCTCTACGGACTCTTTTCCTCCTTCTCTTCCCTCCCACACTACCGAAATCATTTGATTTGTATATAGAAAATCAACTCAAAACCGGTTATTTATTTTCTGGGGGCCAAACATTGTGTTTCAAATAGAAAATTTTTTAATAAAGGATTATAGAGAACTTAATATTGCATTCTATACATATGTGATAATTTTTATGACTCAATCCTTGTTCTTGATTTGTTTCTTCTTTTTGGGGTTCGGCGGCAATTCGTCAGAGCCGCTCCTGTTATGCTTGCTTTGTTTCTTCTGCTTGTTCTTACCTTTATCGTTCTTTGTGACCTTGCCTTTACGCATAGGCTTGTCTAAATTTGATGTTGTTCGCAGATCCATTGGATCCTCGACTTCACCCTCATCGATAACTGTCCGTGGATCGAGTTTAGTAGGAATGTAAAACATTTCGTCTTCGTCTTCTGTTTCTGAATTTAGAGTGGGTTTGTCGACTGTGGTCACATCTACTTCGATATCCTCCCCTTCTTGCTGGCGTTTTGCCTCTTCTTCCAATATTATATCAAACTCATCCTCACGTTCTTCATACTCAATGTTCTCCTCTAGCTCTTTAAAGTCTGGTGCAAATGCGCTCCAATTTTCTTGATAGTTTGTTGCCCAAATGTAGATCTGAGCTTGTGTGGAGACCGATGCGATTACGGGGCGTACCGGATGCCATGCAAGATCTACCAACTCGTCCTTTGGACCCTCTAACATTTTTACTAAACTCCCAAGATTCTTGTCCCATATGTAGATGTTATGACCTGCCTTATGTGCAGAGCCTTGGAATAAAATTTACCAGCACAGAATATTGAGTAAAAAAACCAAACACATGAATGGCAGAAACGTACACGCAAAACATGTCGAATCATATAATGGTATTAATAATGCAGCAGACCTCCAATGACATATTCTCCATCGCGATTAAAGCAACATTGGTTCCATTGTATTCTATTAACGCGATCCATAAAACTATGTCGTGATACCGGCATGCCATTTTCATCCAAACTGAAAAGACGAATAGTCCTATCATTCGAATTGACTAGTATGTCCCTGATCGTGCGATAGAGGAGAGGAAACATGAACAATCAATACGCAATAAAGTATTCGTATGTGCCCGAGTAGAGCGTAAAACGTACTTGCCATTCCTGCTGAGTTTAATCTGTTTTATGCCAATATTTGTAATCTGCTGACTGAAAACGATCTAGATCACGGTGAGAACATCGGCGCGTAAACACTGACAGAGTATCCAACCTTTAAAATGTAAAATCGTCCTCACTTTACGTGTTTGTATATCGATTATATTGAAATATCCTTTGCCGGTTCCGGTAAAGATTCTCTCACCGCGATGATCGAAAGCGCAGCAAAGGATAGGGCTGGAATATTGAAAATAATAAAATAAATTAAATTAAATTAGAATAAATTAAAAGATTTTTTCTATTAAAACTGGACATGTACATAGTATGTATATAGTTTGCATATGAGTTGAATAAGGAAATATATGATCATGTAAACTAATGTAATGGTACTCACAACGAGTTTTTATTCTTACTTTAGTTTGTTAATCGCATCCTTCTCAATAACGTCTCCATTACCATCGTATTGCTCGTCCAACATGGATGGTAGTTCAATGCACTCGTCTTTCATTACGTCGACAAGCACAGCAGGTTTGTGTCGCAATACAGCGGCAAAAACGTTACTAAGATAAACAGAACAAGAATCAAAAATCAGTGCATTTGAAATAATTTTCGTCAAACTCTTGAAGAAAGAAAAAAAAAAAACGGCTAGATTTTATCGATGTCTCAATACCAACTTATTCTTTGGATGCATCTGTGCCATCACTACCCCGGTATGGAATCTTATAGGTCGCGCGGTATCTTTGAGTAAATCCCAATACTGACATTTGAAATCGTCGCCCGAAGTCAATAGAAATCGGCCATTACGCGACCAACTAGATCATTCACGTATAGACGTAAGCATGCGATTAGGGGAGTGGAAGAACACGACAGCTTGTAAACTCTTACCTGACGCTAGTGACTTTAGAGACGTGACTATGCAGCCTCCTTGCAACACCCTTCGTATCAAAGTCCCATATTATGCAGCTACCGTCCGAACAACCACCAGCTAGCAGGGTGCCTCTTCTATTAAAGCATACTGATATTGCGGGACCGTCGGACAGTATTTGTTCTATTGTCTCGGGGTAGTCCTGTTCGAATGGATCTACCAACAAACAAGTAAGGAAGGGCCGATTACAAAAGTACAGAGTAATGGACCACTGGCATATTCTATGTCCTATTCGGGAACATAAAGTGACAAAAATAAATGGATCATACTCAGTAATTCCAAATTCATGTTGTATTGGAGAACTTTCACAGCCTTGAATACAAACCGTTTTGTTTGTTTTGAGGGTTGATTTGAAGTAACACATGACATTTGTAATACAAATTACCTTATTTAAAACATCAAATTATCACGCTTAAGATCAATAATAATAATTATGACTATTATTATAACGATGATAACGACAGCCGATCTTCATAGGATGATAATAATAGCTTTTACCATGCGGCATACTAATACTGGGAAATAAGGAAACGTTTGTTTCCATTCATGCGAGACATAAGCTTTGCGAGA